GAGTAAAGGCTTCCTCTTGCCCAGGTACATGAAGTAGAAGGCACTGCTGGGACTGCAGTATGGACAGGCACACCTGGGTCAGCAATGAGTGTGCCAGGCATGGACACAGCTGCAATCTTGTAGGCACAGCACGACCTCCAGCATCCACCAGAAAACACACCTCAGAGGCTCTGCACTTACAGGCAAAGACACACAGACCTTACGGTTGTTGCAATGTGAGTGCTGCTGGTTCTTAGGAGAGCTAGTTTAAAGGTGCTTGAAAAAGCTTTCACTCTGCAGTATCTAGAGAAGTATTTGCTGTGCAAGCTCAGTGTCCCACAGGGAAAGCCGGTGGACTATAGAGACACAAAGTCAAACAATCAGGAACTGCAACTGAAGGAACCTTCCACAAGAGGTTATTAAGCACATTTATTGATGGCAGATGGTACTGGCTACAATGTGCATTCTAACCTGTGTGCTGGGCAGGCATAATTTTGAAGGCTTTTGTTGGGGCCCTGTGAGTGAGTATCATCACAGCATCTTAGAATCACATGGAACCTTAGGGGTTGGAAGGGACCTCGAAAGATCATCTAGCCCAGCCCCCACCTTCCCCTGGGGTTCTTAACACAGCATGAGGCTTTACAGATTAAAACCAACATGTATTATACATGACATCTGTGTGCACTGCTCCTCAAAAGCGAGCTACATTGAGGGAACAGAAAAACAGCAACGTTCCACCCTAAATTCTCCTTTCCTGGTCCTCTCTGTCCCCCCTCACCTTTAACATCGCTGTCTACCTACACCGCTGCTTCGGTCGTCTTGCCGTAACAGAGCAAGGGAGCCTGTCTGTGTCACACACAGGCTCCCAGCAGCTAATTAATATGAGGAAGCCATGGGAGTTTCTGAGAAGCTGAGCTCTGATGTAACCCAATGCCATCCACTAGGAAGCTTTTAGACGCTCCAGCCATCATGCATAATTTATTCTCGCCAGTCACGTGGCAGCAAAGCTCATTTAGCATAATGGGCACTCGCAGTGGAAAAGCGCTTACAGGGTTTCAGCGCAGCAGCCAGCCCTTTCATCTGGCTGTATCAAAGAGGAATCAAACCATTAGGGTTTAATTCACGGCGTTCTCGTAGAAAACTCTGAAAAACGGTGTTTGAAAGGCGTGCAAGACGCCCGGACCCGGCGCTCCCGCGGTTCCAAACGCGCTGCCGCCCAGCCCTTCGTTTGCGCCGATTCCCGGCGCCTTCCCACCTCCTGCTTCCCACCCAACTCCTTTTCCCACCCGCGGCTCCTGTGAAACCCCCGTGTGCCCACCGAGCGCTCGGCACCCGGGGTGTGTGTGTGTGTGTGTGTGTGTGGGGTGACACCCCCACACC